CAAAAATGTTCAGGCTGCCTGTCAGCGGTTTTACCTTGAAATTTTTATTTTGTTTTTGTTTTAAACTAATTATGTTTATAATACTATATGTATTTAAACGTATATTAATTTTTTTTGTTTGTGAAATTAATGCGCTGTTATTTGGTTGTTATATTGTGGATAAACAAAAAAGACGCTTGAAAATGAGCTGATTTTTATGGCCTTGTACTGATTTTTGATCCCAAATGTACCGATTATGTCACTACTTATGGCTACCCCAAAATAAAGTGCAAGTTTGAAGTTTATAAAAAAATAGCGTTGATTTTTGATAATTTTTTTTTCTGAATGTATTATAAAAAATTGTCGAACATACATACTTTGTATGGAAGAAAAGCAAATTAAAACTTATGTACGCTTTATTCTACTAAAATGTAATGGGCTATAAAACTGCATACTCAAACTCTGCAAAATCTGATTAAAATGTTGAAAATTTCAATGCAATTTTGCAGAATTTGTATAAGTTTTGCACAAAGTTTTAAATATGACTTTTTTAGGGTTTTGTTAGATAATGAGCCATGATTTTGTAAAAAAAATAAGAGTTATTAAATACACAAAAGGAGAGTAGACAAAATTTGTTGGCGTGTCCCTATTAATTGGAAACATAAAAGCAGAGGATGGCTATTGTGATATCTTTCTGAGCAAATCCAATTTTTGGCAGCCAATGTCAGTTACGCGGTTTTGCAGAATGACGATACGCAGTTTTGTACTTTAAACGACAATATGCATATACAAAGATATTATTTATTTATCAAAGTAGCAAAGTAGAAAGATATTTAGTATGCGGCTATATTCCTTGTTTCCTTGGGATCAGCTAATTAACTTATTTAATGTGTAAGAATTTATAGTTGAAACGGGCAAATTTAAAAATTATTTAAAGGAAGTACTTATTTATGTATTAGTCTATACTTAGTTCTAAAATTAGTTGATAATCCACAACATTTATTGTTAAAATTTTGCATAAAAACTTTGGCATTTATATAGTTTCTTTAATTAACTTATGTATGCACGTATGTACATATGTGGACTTACCTGCCTGCCCTAAATCATTACCACAACACAGCAAAGTCAATTTTATAGCATTTTCATTGTGCTACGCGAATTTTCCACTCGCCAAACAAAAACACTTACAACATCAGTTTACTTAACGCATTTCATGCAGCTCTGTTGAAAAGTGTCGATGACCGATGACACAAACTAAATATTTTCAACAACAAAAAAAATTCGATATTTAAAATGCAAATTATGTGCTTTTAGACCGATCAGGCGAAAAGCAATTAAAACGAATGCCACTTGAAAGTCGACGTTGCATGCAACCGTGAAGAAAATTTGCACCTTATGCGGGTGCACGACTGGCTAGCCAGGCAGCTAAAATTAAGTTGTTGAATATTGCTTGCTATTATTTGGCTGCGTAGAATGGAGCGGAGCGGAGTAACAGGAACTGATGCAACACCACACCAAATTGATTACTTTAATGAAGGGAAATCCAGCAGGTGGTTCGCCTTTTATACCCATAGCACCTCCTCAAGCATCGAACAATCGAATATATATATTTATATATGTAAGTATTAACATACTATATGGTTTACCCGAATATATACATACATACATATGTAGATATGTATAAACCAATTTAGTTATTAGATATCAGTCAACCCCTGTCTGTCGCTTCAGTGCGCCACTAGCCACTTTCGAGGGTATTTGGCAGATGTGTCGATAGGATCACTAAATGTACACTATCAACTCGACACGATAACAATTGGCGGTGTGGGGCAGCTGCTGTTGGAGGTGCAAGAGGATATGTTTTGCATACAAAATAATAAATAAGATAAGCGGGTGAAAGGTATTAGTAGCACACTTTCAGGCGCGCACACTACGGTGCTATGAGGGATGAATGGTGTTAAGCCTACATCATAGTCATAGAATAAATTTATATAAGTATTTTGGCCTTAAATGTGTTTTGTTGTAACGCGATAAGGAGATAAATATGCTCGATCGATATTTGTGCGCGACGACTGCCGAAAGAGGTCATAGATAGGCAAATCAATTTTAATAATGACAATCGAAATGCACAGAAATCACACAAATTTAACCAGTATGCATTCATGGGTATCTATGTATGTACATACATACATACATACCGTATGGTAGTAGCAAAAAAAATTTTACTTGATTGGAGGAGTTGCAAATGGCGTCGTTTTTTTTCTGTTTGCTTGCATAAGGGGTGAACAAAATGTTGGAAAATTATGAATTAGCCCATCAGAAGTTAATAATATAATTTATTATATATAAATGTTAATCCGAGCACCCAAAAAATTTGTCGAATCAACATGAAGAGATTCCGGGCATGCGCCCTAGTAGTTACAAACCGATTCTTGTGCATACGCTCGTATACAAACATATCTGAAAAGTTCTAAGTTTACAGTTTTATAGCCCACTCATTTTTAGTATAACCAAGTGCAAGTTTGAAGTTGCTGGAAAACCGCGTTGATTTTTGAAAATTTTTTGCTAACGGTAAGTAAAACTGCGTAAATATAAAAAAAATTGCCAAAATTCAACTTTCAACTTGGAATTTGTTATACTAAAAGTGAAACTTTTAAACAGCTTAATTAGAACTTTTCAAACGTCTACTGGGAAGGAACTACGCATGCGCGGAATCTCTTCATGTTGATTTTACGTCTTTCAGGTAAAATATATGGAGATACTTTACCAAAACCTAGTTTATTTTAGTTTTAGTTTTTTTTTTATTCAAATTCAAATTCAAAATTTGTATATCGACGGCTAAAAACTTTTTAGAACGCCCTGATTCAGAATTTTATTGGCAAACGCTTTATCTCAGAAAGGTCGTTTTTGAACCGAATTCTGGAATAGGGCGTTCATCAACTATACTCTAAAATAGAACGATCTTGAACAGGCTACCGAGATAGGTCAATCTTCCACTCAGCCGTCGATATGGTCGTATACAAAGAACAGATAAACTTTTTTCTTTCTGGTTATTTTAAGACTCTATGTATGTATTAAGATTACTTTACTAACAATTTGCCGACGACGCACAGCTGGACGAAACTATTTTAACAAATACTCTTTGATGGATTTTTACACCACTTCTTAACTAGGACATTTTTGGGCCGCTGATTACGAAACTTAAGTCACTTACGAAAAAAAAAACAAAATGGCGGACGATAATTAAAAAAAAATCAGTAGATTTCTATGAAACTAGGTATCTGGGGGTTTTCTGGGTCGTTGAATACGAATCTAAAGTCATTTACTTAAAATTCAAAATGACAGATCCAACTCGACAAACAAAATATTTAAAAAAATTTAACCCTTCATATATGAAAATTTTTGTTCAGTGATTATACTTATAACGATTACAAATTTGTTAAAAGTTTAATAAAAACTAGTTGCCATTTTTTATTTTGCTTTTAATTTCAGTTCACAATAACAATGACATAAGACCTTCTGAAGTACGTCCTACGAAAACCCTTCTGGAAGGCCTTTCATGGGCAGCGAAAGCAGAAGCCCTTCAATTTGTGTCACTCCATATAAAAAAAAAGAAAGGAGAAAGGAATGTAGCCTCTTGGCTCTCAGGAAGGCCTTTCGGAAGGGCTTTTAACTCCTGAAATTATCTACTGGGCAGATTATAATTTTGCCAACGCTGATACATAGTACATATGTATGTATGCATGAGTATATCCATTAAAAACTTACGTTCGAACTTCTTGACACTTTAGATAAAATTATGCCTTTGTTGAGTTAAATGATGACCGCTTTGTGGAGTTAGTTTCACATTATTTTGTATTGATTTAAGGCACTATAAAATTAATTGTGCTTATTTGAAACACAATATCATTTTTACAGGCCAATGGCACCGGTACATAGAGCGGTGTTTAGCTTATCTCTTTTATTTGATGTTATAAGCGTCACAGTACTTTTTATACATACATACATAAATTCATATATCGCTAGCTTAGAGTGAAAAGTTGTTAAGTCCACTTTTTTATGAAAACTCATATTTTGATACAGGAGGCTGGAGAAATTTATAATGCATTGTTTTGAAAAGGATAAAGGTACTTATTTTATTTATTCTCGTTTATATTTAATCAAAGGAAAATTTGCCAAGTCCAAAAGAAGCACCAAAAATCCGATAAGACCAAGGTAGTACGAAATAGTTTAATAAAGATCCAATCCCTCTGATTCGTATGGAGTTTTGCTTTGCTTTAAACAGGTAAAATGTTGTGTTTAAAGTTTTGTGAAATACTTCCAAGAAAATTGCTAATACAATTTTTGTCCTCTTCTGTAAAATTTTTAAAATGGGACTTATCAACTTTTCACTCTAAGCTAGCGATATACACCTTTTTAAAAGCGATATCACTATTCAAATATTAACTCGAGAATAATGTGTTATCTACATCATGATGATATATACATATCTGTACGTACATATACACAGGCTTACATACACTAATGTGCATATCGTTACCTCAATATAGAAAGACACTATCTCACATCGTCGCTGAAATACAAAAAGCCTTAACTAACTAAAAATTTAAAATTCACTTTTTGATTGATTATGAGGCATTTCATCGAATTAAAAATCCCCACACCGTTTAGTTAGTTACGGTGTTAAGGGCCTTTTAAATTTAGGTAACGTGTATTTACAAACGTATGTTGCAGAAACGTATGTATGGACATAAACGTAATCATATAAAAAAATGATTTATACATATTCTGCTAGGCTGCAAGGGAATACGATTTAAATATTTTAAGGGATAGTGATTGCCGTTATAATGGTCAGATATGAATTTGGGTAGTGGGGTGTGTGGACCAACTGGTTTAATTGCAAAGATTTTATGGGTATATGTATTGTAGACACTAAATTATTTCAGCTAGTCAAACAATTTTGGTATTTTTTTCTTAATATTTTTATAAAATTTCGTTTGCACCTAGCAGGTTAAACTTACCGATTTAGATGTGGTACTGGCAGATCCCCCTCCGCTATCGGCGATTTTCGACTGCAATTCGTTGATTTGCTTACGCAGCAGAGCAATCTGGAATTAGAAAAATGTATGTATTTAAGTTTATCATCCATGGTTGTTTATAAAGCAAATCAACATCTGAGTAGAAGATCGCCCTATCTCGGCAGACACTTCGAAAATGCCACTATCTCAGAAAATTTTACAAGAACGCCCTATCTCAGAATTTGATTGAAGAAAATATATTTAGATAAAGTGTGCTGAGATAGGGCGTTTTTGAACCGAATTCTGAGATAGAGCGTTCTTTAATTCAATTCTGCAATAGGGTGTTTTTCAATAAAATTCTGGAATAGGGCCTTTTTCAATAAGATTCTGTCTAAAGCAGGGCGTTCTTGAAGTTTTCTGAGATAGGGCATTTTGGAACTCTCTGCCGACTAGGTCGATCTTCCCCTCAGGTGTCGAAATGTACACTGTTTATTTCTGTTTGATTCTATTGGTCCTCGATAATACGTAAAATTTGGACTTAAGGGCTTGGAATACTTGTGCCAACTACTATTTTCTATAATTAATATACTTAAAATTTACCCAACTAACATGCAGGATCTTGACCTTGGGTCAGGGAAGCCAACTCGTGGCAATTCCCCGAATTGCGGGAAATTTCACTTTGCGTGGGGAATTGGGATATGGGCCGTTTTTTGAGGGGAATTTCAGCTCGTTCAATTCTAGTATGAACAAGTTTCAAATGGCCAAAAATTACCGTTGATTTTTTAGAATTTTCCGTGTCGCATTTGCTTTCATATAACGAATAAACATAATTTATTTTTATATGGAAGAAAACCGCAAAAACTTCGGCAAAAAAAAATCTAAAACGAGACTTGCACTTTATTATAATAGAATTGAGTGGGCTACAAAACTGCATACTCAAAATATTTCTAGAAAATCGAATTAAAAAGCTCGAAATTTTTACGAAAGTTTGTTGAATTTTTTTCATATATGTACATATTGCAAAAAGTTTTAAACTGGGATTTATATGGTATTTGTTAAGGAATGAACTATATATTATTTTTTATAAAAAAAAACTCAAATTAAATAACAAAAAATAATAATAATTGGTGCGACTAAAATTTTTTCGACCACTGTATGTATGTAAATATTATATAAACATTTTTTATTTTTTAACTAACTTTATAAAAGTTTGGTTGGGTTTATGAATACATAGATGAGTTACATAAAAAGAAAACAACAGAAAGACCAGCAATACATATATCAAAATACATTCTTTTTTTTTTGTAAGTATGGGTGTGGAATTTTACGATATTTCGGCCGAAATCGGGAAATTTTATTGTCGAAATCGGGAAATTTTGAAAAATGAGTTGGGCCTTGGGCTTAAAACTTTCTCTTTGTTATTTTACAGGATTTTACCAACTTTTAAATTATAACAACATGAGTAACCAGATACATATTAAAAAATTTAAAGTTATTGATTTTTTTCAAGAATAACTTTATAAAAAAATGTGAGTTTTTGCTATATACCAAAAAACGTTTACCATTGTGTTGCTGAAATACTATATTTAAAGAAAGTGCATAACGTTTTGATGAATATTGAAAAAAGTATATTTATTTTGAATATCAAAGTTAGCCAATTTCGAAGGCTCGTAAAATCAAAGGATAAATAAAATAAAAGGAAAATTGGTTTTTGTACGCTAATTTAATTATTTAACTTATTTTAATAAAAAATGAGTACTTCTTAAAATAAATGTATTACATTAATCAAATTGACGCCCAATGTACACTTGTGATCAGCTGATTTTGATAAATTTTTGCTATTTTTCTTTTATTTATTTAATATTTATTACTTTTCCATAAAAGTTAAGCTCATCATATAACAAACACCATAAAAATCCACATTTCAACCTTTGTGCAAAAATTATGAACTATCTGAAAAATGTTAGCTAAATTTACAACTATATTTCAGATTTTTTAGAATTTTTTTGAGTATGCAGTAGCTCAATAATATTGTGCAAGTTTTCAGTTGCTAAAGAATCAGGTTGATTTTTTATGACTGCATTACAAATTTTTTTTCATACAAAATATATTCGACAATTTTTTTTGTTATATGAAAAAAGTGTGTCATGCAGTCAGTAAAAAAATAATTAAAAATCATCGCGATTCTTTAGCAACTTAAAACTCGCACATTATTACCTTAGAATTTAATGAGCTATTAAACTGCATACTCAAAGAAAACATTCTAAAAAGCCTGAAAAATAGTTTAAAATTTAGCAGACATTTTGCAGATTTTTTATAATTTTTGCACAAAGTTTGAAGTGTGGATTTGGATGGTGTCTGTTATATAATGAGCTAGGCTTTTATGGAAAAATAATAAACATTAATAAGTGTATATTCATAGAGAAAACAAAGCTAGACAGAGTTATTTGATATGAATACATTAGTTTATTACGAGTAATTTTTAGCAATAAAAAACCAACCGACTTCAATTCTCATATAAATATATATATATATGTTTCATAATCCAATGATCGAATCTAAACCAGATTAGTATGGGACCACCTTGGTTGACGTGGTCCAAAGTTATGCGGTATCAGACATAAAAATAAAAAATATTCCGACGAACTGATAACCTCCTCCTTTTTTGGAAGTCGGTTAAAAATATATAAGAATGTACAAACGAATATTAGAATTTATGCCACTAATAACAATTTTACCATTTTATAAATCATTTTTATAAAAAAAAATCAGAAATAACGTTTATTTAAGGAGAAATTAAATAAAAGTAAAAAACTAATTGTTAAAGAGCGATTTTTTTTAACAAAAGTTGTAACTATTGCGGACCCTAAATTTAACACATAAGAAACCTATGTGCTAAATATTCGATTTGCCACACTAGTCACACGGGGTCCAGTGAACCCCAAACAAAAATAAATCTCTACAAATCGATCTGTGTGTACCGACTGACGTCACACTAGTTTTCCAGACGGCCTGAAATTATTGAATTAAACTCTAGTTAGTAACAGGTGAAATTACAAAATCGATTTTAAAGTTTCTACATATATAAACTATATAGCCGCAAGGTTGGACTGAGGTCCATTGGACCTCATGTGACCATTACGGATTAGATTCGATTACGAAATATAGAACTCTCAAAGGCAGTAAATTTAAGTGTGTATTGTTATTTAACGAATTATGGTAGTCTTTATCCATAACGAAGATATATATTTCTTTTCACAGGCAGTAAATTATAATAATAGATTGGCGCTTACACATATGTGTTAGTATTTGGCCGAGCTTTTCCTCCGATTTGTGGCCATTGCCTATCGAGGGGCGACCGCTGTTAAGAAAACCCCCTTTTTCTATATTTTTTTGCGATGTTGCTTTGACCAGGGCTTGAACCCAGGTCCAGCGGGGTGGAAGCGCACACTGCTAACCACTACACCAACGACTTTTGCCTTGAGATAATTATTAGCTCCAATTTTTTCTATATACATATGTTTTTTTGTTTGCTACAAGAGAACACCCTTTTCTCCTTCCACCCACCGACTTACTTCGTTATCCTTTTCATTGCGTAATTTATTAAGCTGCTCCTTTTGCATTTGTTCAGCTGCAATCAGCTCAGGAGATATATGTGTTTCAATTTCTGGACCCCGATATTCATCATCTCCTGGCCCTGCTGTCTCGGCAAGCACCTCCTGAGCAAGAGTCGTCAGCTGCCCTTTCAATGTACTTAGACTGCTGTTAAGCCAAGACATACTTCTATTACGTCAAACGCTTAAAAATCTTAACCCGTTTACTTTTTTTAACTATAATATATTTTGTATATTTTAATTAGTTAATTTATTTATTTGCGTTTCACGTTGACAACTTGGCAAAAATCGCTTTTTCTTGTATTTTGTTTTTATTGTTTTCTGCGAGCTGTCATAATCAGCTGTTGAACACCTCTGTTCGATTTGTTCCAAAGAAAACAATAGCTGTGTTTCTTGCGCCTCGGTCTAAGAACTAATAACGAGGGGGCTTCTGGCTGTGGAAAAATGCACTGAAAACTACGTCTTCTCCAAATGCCGATTGGCGCAAAGTTCACAATAAATTAAATTAAATTAATTTTTGTAATTTTTCTTACTCTTGCTAGTAGTATTAAATTAGTGCTGGCAACCTCAATAAGAATGACCCAGTTCTTTTCCGTGAGACATTATCGCCATACTGAGCTGGATGGGTGAAGAAAACATGGCTAGGGTTCGAACGATACTATCGAACATACATACATACATATGTATACATATATGGAAATCTTAACAAGACGTAGAATTTAAACAGATTAAATTTTTTGGATAAGGACGAAGGAAATTTTGCAATATTTATTTATGAAAAAATTATATGTTAAGGACTTATAAGAACTCGGTAACATCCTCGAATTTCGTCCTTCTAACTTTCTCTGCTTAAAAAAAAAACCTATTCCTTCTTGTGAATCCAAGCGTTTTATTTTTTTTTTTCAATTCTAAAGAAATTTCCTCTTTCATTTAGTACCCATATTTTTATTCTTATTGCATTGAATTTTTTAAATCGTTTTTGGAATTAATCATATCTTTGAAATTAGTCCTTTAAAAAAAATGCTGACGCCAGAGAAAAAATAGAATCGCCACATGAAATAAAAAATTAGGTTTCAAACCCATTCAATAATTTTTTTGGACAGCTGATATTTCCTTATGAAGAATCGGGTCCTTTACATATGGCTTGACAAAGTCAGTGGTAACTTGGTTGAGTTTATTGTTTTATCTCGTCCGTTAGTTCGTAGAGAAGCCTTCGGACGTGCCTAGGAGAAGGCGAGGCTCTGCCTCAAGAAATGCCTACTCAGGTACTCTCATCTACAGTAACCTACTAGGAACTGCTTGCTGAGCATGAAGTAGTGCTGCCTTACTGGAGGCTTTTTCCCGTCAACTGCGTCAATGATTTTCCTCTAAAGTAGGTTTCTACAATGTTTTACTTTATTTATTTAACATTCTGAATCATTAGGTTAAGTTAGGTTAAAATTAAACAAACTGAATCGAAAATACACCTTTCCCCCGAGTACTTGGTTCCTTCATGCTTTTAAAACGGCCGAGCTTGAGAACTGAAACCTAATCCAACGCCTCGCATTGTATGGGTTGCTTGACGCGCAACTTCATACTGCTGTTCCATGTTTGAGAACATTACTTCTCGAGTTTTGATATCAGGCGCCACAGACGGCACATTTTTCGGCTCAGCTTCTTGACTCTCCGCCTTTGTAGGGCCGCTACCTTTGATGCCCATTAAACGCATGAATTTAGATGCCACTTTTCCATCGGTATCTTGTGAAAATTGAGCATTACCCCATTTTGCCGCCGTGTCCTCAGATTTCTTAGCACCCCAAAGTAGTTTGCGTTTCTGCACTTGCTCAGCATATCTGTTAGGGTTTATAACATTTGGATTATAGTAACTAGGTAGTTGAATGACGGCAGGTTCGGCATTATTTAAGGAAACTGGAGCCACCGCAATCAAGTTAGGCTGTTTTGGCGCCGTATCACTAAGAGGAAGAGACAATAATGCTTCCGTACTACGTCCGCCCCCTTGCGACGACGTATGCACTTCTTTATCTTTGGATGCTCGGCTATCAGGTTGTATTTTACGCTCCATTTCAATAGCTGACAAGCGCGCTTGTTCTAGCGCAAGTCCTTCACGGCCGCGTTCACGTGAATCAGAACGTGTTGGGGTAGCGGAGCGTGATCGTGTGCGATGTCGTGAATAAGATTTCTCATCATGCTTGGAGCGTTTACTATGGGAATGTCGCTGTGTAGGGGGAGGTGATGGGGAACGAGAGTTACTACGACGGCGATGGCGACCACTAGCTCGATCAGAAGTGCGATCATAGGGCTCTGTGTGGCGATGATCAAATGAACGATTGTGATTATGCTGGCGAAATGAGGAGGTAGGATTTTGAGATGACAAATCGTGACGTGAGCGTTCATCGCGGCCATTGCCGCTATGACGACTATTCTTGTATGAAGAAGAAGAAGAAGAGGGACGATAACGATCGTCTTCGCGAGGTCTACGGTTATCATGGCTGTCACGTTCCCGCTTATAATCATTTTGGTATTCTCTTGTGCGCGAACGATCGCCCTGGAAATAACAAATTCATTCAGGTACGATTTTTAAGAATGTATTGTATATATTTATATATACAGATGCGATCAACTTATTAGCAACTAAATTCAAAATGATATTGATTGCAAATTATGTTTATGTATTTATTTTTAATAATTTTAATATAAATCTTAACTCAATCTAAAACAGAAATCACAATAAAAAAGTTTAACAGCTTGCACAAATTGCAAAAATTTTAATCAAACTTCAAAAAATTGTCAGCAAAATTTTTAATTAGAATATTTAGAAAATTTTCGGGTATGCAGTTGTAGCTCATTCCATTGTAGTATAAGAAAGTGCAAGTTTCTAGTCGTTAAAGATTACCGTTGATTTTTTGGATTTTTTTTTTTGTGGAGGGTTTTCGCATTTTCTGCCATAAAACACATGATCAAATTTTTTTTATATGAAAAAAAAAACAGCAACACCCTCCACAAAAAAAAATTCTAAAAAATTAACGGTAATTTTCAACGACTTGAAACTTGCACTTTCTTATACTACAATTGAATGGGCTACAAAACTGCATACCCGAAAATTTTCTAAATATTCTAACTAAAAATTT